CATGGCACTGTTGTCACTGGGCATGCAGCAGGCTTGCACAAAGCAGAGATGAACCATCCCAACCACAAAATTGGAAATTAGACAGGGAGGTTATTCGGATTACGGATAGTTTCGCCAATCAAATGCGTTTTGTACAAGCCAGGCTTGCACAAAAACCTTCACCGACCAGGCCCTCAGAGGCGAGTTTGAACTTGGCACGGGTTCATTCGTGCTTCCAGACCAAGATGCAGGACAACAACAGCTCCAACCCTCTCGCGCGCGGGGGAGCATGGAAAGGGAACCTCCCCCCCGTACGCAAGCCCAACCCGAAGACATCGGGCCAGTGATTCGAACTGCGTCGACGACTTGATCCTGGAGCTGAACTCGATGGAAGGTGACTTGACCGACCCCACGTTTGACCTGACCTGGGCCAACATGATGGACCGCCTCGAAGTCATGGATGACCTGTTGGACCGCCTTTGGCGCACCCTGAGTTTCCTGTGCAGCGTGGCGCACGCTCCGATGCTCATGCGACCGTGGTCGGCCTCCACGACTAAGTACGGTTGGTCCTGGCCCGTCGCAAGCAAAGCCGCGCCATTTACCAGGCTATGGAAGGGTTACGGGCGAGTTCAGAATGGCTGCTGTATACGGTTGAACAACAGGTCACGGTGCCCTTCGCGTCGAAACTCGTAGCACCGAATATCCACACATTAAGGGACTGGAAAACCGAACCAATTATGGCTGCGCGAATCGATGGCGTCGACCTTGACCAGCACGACAAGGCTCGCGTGGACGAGGTCATGTTGAAGCTCCATACATTCGAATATTGGCATCACGAAGTCCACAACTACTTGGTTGATCGAGCGTCATCCAACGGGTGAGCAAAACTTTTGCCTACAATGTGCTGGATGCAACGAAAGAGTACTCGAAGCTTGTCGAATGTTAACACGATCTCAAATGGCTTGCTCACGCCCACGCTCGCCCTTCTCACAGAGGTGCGTGCCACCGACCACCCTCGTTTTACCACGACCTTGCACCTTACTTGGTGTAGAATGCAGTTGCCGCAGGATATCCCATCGCGACACGGGCCGTGGATGCTGTCGCTGTTGTCGCCAGCGCTGCTGTCGGTGCTAAAACACTGCACGAATCGATCTATCCGTGAAGAGCTGTACCGAGTCAACGTGAGTAAAGCCAGCACGGAACTGTTTAACAGTGTGTCAGTGGCCGGAGAGATTCTCGCGTTGAGAAACGAGGTTTATTACACAGAGGTACTGAAAAATTAATTGAACTAGCACAGTTGCTGGGGTTCCAGACGTTTGCCGACCTCAGTTTGGCGCAGAAGACGGCGCCATCTGTGCTTGAGGTTGAAGAAATGATCAACGCTCACCACGACACGAGTGATCCCGTGGTCGAGACCAAGTTCCAGCAGCTGCAGACGTTTGCGGATCCCATGGCCACGACGGACAGTTGGAGCAATGGGACGTGGCTTTTTTGGTACGCGTTGCAACATTCGAGCGATGGAGCAGCTGGGATCGCCCGCCGTCGGACATTTTTCTTTGACCCTTACGCCCGGCCGGGGCAGAAGCGGCACGGAGGGTGGATCAATGAGACCGTCAACCGAAGCAAAGTCCTCGGAATCCCCGAGCATCTCGTTCGTGTGGCGGACTTCAAGATCGTGTGCAATTTGCCTCCCCCGTTGACCCTCCATCCCCAGCGTTTTCCTCGATCTGAACGACAGTCATCTAGGTTAGCAGCGCGTCGTTAATGTCGTTTGTGGCCGATGTTGCGAGTTCGCATTCGTAGAACCACTGAGCTCCCCCCAAGAGGCAGTCCAAGGGTTCAGTTCCCTTGGGTAGTATGCCGGACGATTTGATTGAATAATTGGACGAGTGGCTGGGATCAGCTGACTGATTTAGGTAGGGTTAAGCCCCATGGCTGCTTGCCGCTGGGGGGAATTTTACTTCGTGATTTGCCTTTGGAAACGGACTTTGCGGGGTCCGTCAGGTGGAGACGCAACAAAGAGTTCTTTAGTAGCAGCCTGGCACTTGTCGTTCAAGAATGGAACAAGAAGGTCTACCGTTCACGAGCTCGCTGGCTCATGTGACACGTACACGGTGGATGGAGACCGTGGTGGCCGTGCCATTACCTCCGCCGACCCAAGCGGAGTTGGACGAGCTACGGATGCAGAGCGTGGAGCGCGCTGCTGCGACATCGAGTCATTTTAACCAGATGACTTACGATGAGCTGGCGCAGTTCCATGCGCAGCGAAGTGCCATGGCGCAACATCTGGAAGAAGAAAGGCCGCTGGACATGGCAGCGGCGATGGAAAAGAATCGACAGGAACAAGAAGAGTCACGAGCGGCTCTTTCGCGACAGCAAGAGGAGTTGGTGCGCCAGCTAGAAGAGATGAAGCGACCGATGGCTGAGCAAAGCAGACTCTCTGAAGCGCACCACGATATGCTCCGACAAGCATCGGATGCGATGCTTCAGCAACACTACAAGGTAGAAGAGCTGAATCAAAAAGTTCGCCGCGACAGCGAATCATGGGGTTTATTTGCCGAAGAGACGAGTCAGCGTTCGGCTTTTACGACTGGACGAGCCGCCGAAGCGCCTCGGCTGGAGAACCTGATGGGCGTGCAGCAAGTGCCGTACAAGGGAAGCACGAAGCGTGAGCGCCGCGAGTTCATGGACGAGTACCTCGCGTACTCGCGACGCGTGGAAGTGCTAAACCGCGGCATGGGTGGTACCTTGTTACTGATGCCGCTGGCAGCGTGCATCGATTGTGCCGCGTGTCTGCGCACATGATTGTGGGAAGTCGTTCGACGACATCACGGAGAACGACTGGCGTGACTATATCCTGTCTGCACGAGCGGTACAGGAATTGGACCTCGACGCCGCGACGAAGACCATGGCGTCGTTGAATATGGACACGAAGATTCGCGACGCCGAGTCGCGGGTGGGAAGACTGCTGGCTGACTTCTACGAGAAGTTGGAGCAACTAGACGTTCCTCACCTGCCGGAGCAAGAGCCGAAGCAGTCGGTGAAGATTTTGACAGCGGCGATCCAACCGCATCAATTGAAGTCGACTGTCGAAAGACAGTTGGCTCGCGAAACGAACAAGGCGTACAAGTTGGACGTGCGTTCGTTTTGCCGTTGGCTTGTGACCGTCATGGACAACTTTATGTTGTTCGAGTCGCAACTTCTGGGCGTGGAGAAGATGCACGACCAGATTCCGCCAAGATGTTTGGCGAAAAGGCTCGGCGATTCGTGCCGACGAAGAAGCGTGACCGCGATGCATCTGTGAAAACGCAGTCGACGACCGCGGCAGCGTCGTCTAGAGGAAACGGCTGCCTGAAGTGTGGCAGCGACGAACACCGGGTATTCAAATGCCCCAAGGTGCAACCAGGTGAAGCGCAGCTTCTGTTGGACCAGCGCTTCAAGGAACCTCACGGGGCGTCGTCCGCAGCATCGGAGAAGAGGGACGACGCCAAATGCAAGATTAATGGCACTGCCGTGGACCCCCAGGACGCGTTGGTTATTGACTGTCCACGCACGGTTGCGTGTGATGTCAATGGCGTGACGGCGTTGGCGCTCTTGGACAGCGGCGCTGATCAATCGGTAGCGTCGCCAACTTTCCCGGCGCGCGTCGAAAATGTCGGTAACTTTACGTTGGAGTTGCACCAACTGAACCGACGATCGAGTTGAGCGGCTTCATGGAGGCCATGAAGCTTACAGTGGACCGCGAAGTCAAGCTGCGGTTGACGTTCGATACGACCGAAGGAACGTTGGTGTTATCGAACCTGAAGTGCTGGCTGGCCGCGATGCCACTGAAAGACGGCCTGGGCGGCGTTATCGTCAGTCGCGACGTGATGGCGCGACTGGGATACTGCCCTCAATTGTTGTCGGCGCAAACGCGGCAGTGCGCAGAGTGTGTACAACCTCAATCTGCTGGGCGACAAGGAGACTCCACTGATTGCAGCCATGAAGGTGGTTGAGACGATGAACAAGCCTACATCGTCTCCCGAAGAAGTCTCGCTCTACCCTGAAGAAGAGCGAGCGTGTTCCCAGATTTGAAGTCTGGGTGGTCGCTGGAAGTCGACCGAATGGCGGTGAGAGCGAAACTCGCACAGAAGGTGCGCGACTGGCGAAGTCGCAGGGTGCGGTGACGACTTTGTGACACAGCTGCCAATGCTGTTCGTGCGCTACGAAGACGTGTTTCGACTTACCCTTGGTCGAGATCCTCCAGTCGATGTGGCGCCCCTAATCATCTAATCATGACGTTGAAGCAAGGCGCGGAACCTGTGCGGTGCATGGCGCGCCGCTACTCAAAAGAGCAACTTGACATCATGGCGTAAAACGTTGCTGAGTTGGAGGCAGCGGGGCTGTGTTATCGTACCCCCACTCAAAATGGTGCTCGGCACCTTTGATCGTCAAGAAACCCGATGCGAACGACTTTCGCGTGACCGTGGACGTCCGTCCGATCAACGCCCAGACGGAGCGCATCCTGTGGCCGATGCCAATGTTGGAGGTGATCTTGGATCACCTAGCCGGCGCAGAAGTGTTCTTTACCCTTGACTTCTTCAAGGGTTACTGGCAGTTTGCGCTGGACAAGACGTCGCAAGAAATGTTCTTGTTCCTCACGGATACGGGCGATTACACGCCGACGCGAGTGCTGATGGGCGGAACCGACAGCGTGGCGTACTGCCAATCGTCGGTTCAAGAAATGTTCGCGAGCGAGTTGTACAACTCGCTCTTGGTGTGGCTGGTCGATTTGCTTGGATACGAGAAGTCCAAGCAAGATTTGCTGGTGGCGCTCGAACGTGTGCTGGTGATTTGCCAGGAGCGCGGCCTCAAGCGGCGGGCGCTTGAACGCGCCAGAAGGTTTGGATTAGTGCAAGGAAGCGCTCAGCCGAGTGGTGACCCTAGCTCACCCGAAGCAAGATCGGCTGATTTGTGTGTTGCCGATGCCAGCGATT